AGAAACACCAATCAAAACCTAAAATTGGATCCAGAGACAGTTAATTTTCTTTTACATATTACCTCATGTGATTATGTGTCACTTCTATTACTTAAACATTAGACATAACATCATTTTAAGAACACGACACCTTATAAGTTAGAAGCGCCAGAAGTTTAAAATAATGACAAAAATTCAAAAAAATGACAAAAACTAAAAAGAAAAAATGACAGATGTTGACCCCAAAAAAATATGCCTTCAACATGACCAACAGATTTCAAGACTTCTCACGTTCACGCAAGTCTAATTCCTGCACACTTGAATGAACCGTTAGCCACACGTGGCTTCCTCCAACGAAGTGGAGTTGGCAGTGCGCACTCTGTTGATAAAGTCAGTAGATAAAGTAAATGTATGAGTGTAAGGGGACTTTAGACAAAAGTCTCCAACGTAAAAAGGGAGTCGGTCTTGGGGTGTATATCGAGAATAATAAAAAAGCAAAGTTGTTGGTTGAGAACTTAAACCTGCATTACCTTGAAATGACACTAAATGTAAGCTTTTATAGTAGAAAATGATGAGTAAGAGTCGTTAGATGAAGAAATATGTAGCCTCATCTTAGCAATTGGGACCTCTTGTCATAGATATCAATCAATCATTCATAGGCCATGTTGCATTTCATATTATGACGGCTTGGCAGCCATATGCCTAACATATAAGGCTAGACTTGACTTGTTTTCTTCACATCATCCACTTGATACAAAATCTTGTATAAAGATTTTATCTAAAACGCCTCACCTATCTCTCCTCAACCATGAGGGCTGAGCTCCCCATAGAGGTTCGGCCAAATTGCCATATGGGCAAAATGATGTGGAGTACAGGTCTTGGTTCACTTGCTGTGTAGCTACCACTTGACCATGCTTAGAGTTTCATTGGAAGAGGCTTACAACAGAAATTCAAAAAAATGGCAAATTAAGTTGGTATCAATAATTCTCAATATCATCGTATAGTTAGTATTAACCTAACATCTCAAAATAACATTTCTACAGTATTTTAAAGAACTTTCAAAAAATAATGTACAAGGCACAATCACTACAATTAGTTTTTGAGAAAAGATACAAGCAATTCCATTAAAGCACAATCACCACAATTAGTTTATGTGGGTATGGCATTATTTCGGCACCATAGTAAATCGGCCTTCTAACCGATGAAGCTCATCTTTCACCGGTTGTGTTTGGTATTCATCCCAAAAAATAGGGAACTTCAATTTGGTTTCGGTACATGGCATGAGCCAATCATCATATATGAACCTGAAAACAATGAGCAAGTACACTTGATGCCAAATACCCAAAAAACAAAAATAGTAAAATGCATTGATAGCAATCTGGGAATAAATAACTTACACTTTACCTAGAAGTAGTTGAATCAATTGTCTTAAGATATAGTCTTCTGTTTGTGAATGATCGGTGGTGGAGTTTGGTGCTCACAGAATGGTTTAGATAGGGACGGATGGAGGGGGGCCTATAGCCCGGTCCAGTCCCCACCCACTGATTTTTTTTTTTAAGTTAGAAAAAAAAATTTATGTAAAAAAAAAAAATCATGTGTATTTTTTTTTTTTTTACGTATTCGGCCGTCCTGTAATTCGATCCTGAATCCGTCGTTGGATTTAGAGCTTGAATCCCGTCTCCCTTCTAGCACCCAATGCTTGTATCTTGCGGGACATTGTGGCATTGTTATTGAATGTAACATTTGCTCTTGTCGCTGTGTGCTTCGTGCAGTGTATAAAGAAGCTCACCTGCTTCCTTTATTTGCTAAAACTACCCTAGTTTCTTATAGCTAGTTTGATTGGATTTCAATTTTTCTTTCATCCCCTTATTATGGGTGATATTACTAAATAAAGATTGCTATTGTTTAACCCTAGGAAAAAAATTATTTATAAATGAATTTCTTACCATCTAAACAAATTTTAGTCCCTGTTTGGAAAAGATTAAAATCAAATTTTTAGTAGATTTTGATAAAATTTGATGAAATAAGTGGTTAAAAAGTTTTGGTACTCATAAAATGTGTTATTAAAATTAGTCATTGACTTTAACTTGAAATTTTAATTCAAACAAAACAGGGGCTTAATATAAGTACACATGAAAAAAGACTATCAATATTGCAACCCTTTATTCATAGGACTTTGTCATTTGTACATTAAATTTGTACATCATCTTGACACCTGCGTGATTATCAAACATTGATTGGACGGGAATATATATATATATATATAATTTTTTTTTTAACTGTCAAATTTGATTTACTATGTTGATGAATGTAAATAAGAGTGGACCCCACACAGCACGATTGTTATTTATAACATGCACCATGATTTTCCCCATTATCAGCCTTGAAAGATTCCTTTTATATTTCATACTTTCATAGCATTTTTTTCAGCAAACACAAAATTCAATTATGTTTTCTTTCTCACTTCTTCTTAGACCCTCTTTGATTACCACATTTGCCATGGAAAATGTCACATTTCGAGAAAAACGAATTTTACTTTGGCCGTTTGATTGTAACGTGGAAATAGAAATCGAATTCCAAGGTACAACCACTTTAAACTGTATTTTTTTTGTTTTCATGAAAAACGAATTCTTATGAGTTTGGTGAATTTTTATTTTCCAATTAGCATGAAATTAAAATTTTTTTCTATTTTTGTCTATCAAACGGACCATTAGTGTATGTATGTAAGTACATATGATTCAACAGTGACGTGCCTGTTTATCTACCCTTCACTTCACCAACGGGATTAAAAGAGGAAAAGCTGAAAATGCCCATTAAATCCTTTAGTCAGAAAATAAAAAATAGAAATAATTATAAAAAGAAGTCGAAATTTAATTTTAGCCACTAATATAAGTGGTCAGTCTTGAGTCCGGCCTGTGATGAGAAAATGAAAGCCCAGGCAGGCTTTTAGAGTTGCAGAGTCTTCATATACACTGACACCAATAATAACACATAAATGGCCATCTGTAATGCCAACCCCACTCATCATTCACTGCCACCTTTGACCAGTCCTTTTGCGATTCCACAATTCATTCATATTAATCTCATAAATACTGCACACTCTTTTACTATTTGCAAAATCATTAAAATAGTGTAGAGTGATTTATGGATATTACTGAGAAAAAAATATATTTTAAAAAGTAAGAAAAAGTTATTGGTGTGATGAAAAATATTATTTTATTTAAAAATATGTGGTTAAAAATAAATTTTGAAAGAATGTTTGTCAAACAGGGGTAAGAGAGTGTTTGAACCCCATTATTTTTTAATAATGTGTTTTGAAATAATAAATTGATGAAAAATGTGTAATTAAAAAGGAAGAAATTTTTTTTGATTTACGTGTAATATTATTTTAATGAAAAATGCATAATAAAAAAGAAGAGAAAAAAAAATATATTTTGAGAAAAATGAGAATCAAAGACCCCCAAAATTTATCGTCCTCATCATTAAATCATTGCAAAATTAGTTACTGGTAAATGGATTAGACCTATTTGCAAACTATTAGGGATGTACACGCAATGCAAAGTATCGGAACTAGTCGAACTTGAAGTAAATCGAAGCCAATCAACCAGTTCATTTCAGTTCGATTCAATTCTGCTTCAATTTTAAACAGTTTTTTTTGTTTTTTTTGGGTATTAGAACCTAGAAGCGTTGTCATTTCTAGTACCCACAACCAAGAACATATAAGGTCCAATTAACCATTCTTTTGGGAATATTAAAGATGGAGAAATGAACCCAACCACATGGAACAACTAGCCATTTTCTTACACCACAATTAATCCATTTTAAAGGACTAAACTTTGCGTCACTAATTTAGAAAATTTCAGTTATGGAACCATTTGGCCCGGTTCTAGTTCATTTCATAGAATATGGAGCTTTTAGTTCGAATCTCTTCAAAACCAAACCATGTCAGTCCTTACAAACTATGTACTAGTCAAGATGTAGAGAAAAGTCTTGGTCGTGTGAAAAGACAAGATGGCTAGGTTTGAATCTTTGTCAATCTAGGTAGAATTTGTTGGAAAATACAGGTCATGGATCGCTCATGCGGGGTGACCCGAGCAGTAAGATATTAAAATAAATTGGAGGGAATGGTTTGAATAGAATTCAAACCCATAAATTCTCACAAACCTTGTTAACTCCTACAACTCCCATGACTTTTCTCTAGCAATTGGAAGAGAGAAAAGATGGCAAAAGAAAGTATAAAATGCTTATGGAAAAATACACTAAAATTGGAAAAGGCCCAAGAACTATTATTTTTGCATAAAAACTCACAATTTTTTGAACTTAGATTGTGAATAATAATCTCATTCTATTGTAATCGGGATTGGAACCATTGTAGTACAAGAAAATGCCGACATTTTGGTTTGTTGTGTTACACTTAGTAGGCACTACACTCTAAAATGTGTGTATAAGCACTCATTCTTTGCATATAGTTTTTATATATGATCTCAAATTGCATTAACACCTTGGAAAATATACCTTTTATTAAATCTTGAACTCTCTATTTGTTGGGCAAGCCATTTCAAGAGAAGTTCCTCTTCCTCCAATGGTAGGACGGGAGAAGGATCAAGCACATTAAATACTAAACAGCTACCTACTCCATTAATAGATTATCAAGATCTAAGATTCACCTGTTATAATTCGAACCCTAAAAGGTGCTTGTGTCCAATGAACAAACCAATTAGAGACTAACGTTCGCTTCTTCTCTAATTGAATGGTAGAGCTGAACTCGTGTCTATTTTAAATAAAGTAATATCCTTGGCGACGACAAAGCCGTTAGGCCGACCCGCCGAGATTACTAACATATTTGGTGCATGTCAATTACAGGCAAACATGAAATTGAAATCCATGGACAAGAATAATGGCCATAGGAAGTCGAGTGAATTAAATCCAGCATGAAATAGATATGGTTCTGTCAAACAATTGGGATAATTAAATTCTAAAATTAATAAATATAAATTCTAGTTGAATTAATATGATTATAATTATTTAGAATCTGGTTGGTTTTTGTGGGAAGCTAAAGCAAGAATAGAATTTGCCAGTTTGTTAATGGCATCAACAAGGCCATTCATGCCTTGTCTGTTAATCTGAGCATTTGACTCCTCAAGTTGCAGTCTTCTCTCATGCAACCTCAACACTTCTCTGTGTCTTCTCTCTTCTCTCTCTTCACATGAATGAATTGCTTCTGCTATAATGGAACCACTTTGGGAAATTGCACTGCAAACTTCTTGTAAACTGCTGTCACCCGCGGCGGCGTCGCCTTCTCCTCCTCCTCCGCCACCACCACCGCCTCGTTCTCTTCTTCTTCTTCTCTTGGCTGGCGAGTCTGAATGCCCACTTGTATCAGAATCTGAAATACCATTCAGTTTATAATTAGTCGTCACCAACAAAATTTCAAGAAAAATGTGAAAGATAGTACCTGCTGTGGGCAGCGACGGCTCAGCAAAGGGGCGGCTAGGTGGTTGCGCGGGTGGCGGGAGAGGTAAAAGCATCGTTTGAGCTGCAGCGGCCTGAATAGGATTGACATTTGAAGTTTCAATCCCGCCACCGCCACCGCCCACTACCACTTTCCTCTCCACCACCTCGAACAATGCATCAAATATCTGGGGCAACATATTTGAAGGCAAACCATGTTCCTTCCTCTGATTCTTCTCCATCTTCCAATAAGATTTCTCTTCGCCTCTCTCCGCCGCCACTCTCCTCTGATACTCTCTCACTTTCTTAAAATCTCTCATCAAATTATCCCACTTATCATTACACTGGTTTTGGCTTCTGAAACACCCGTTCTTCCAGCAATAATCTTCCACGCGTTTCCATCTTAACTCCCCCGGTTTGCCTCTCTCATGAGCACTACTGCTTTCGCCACCATGCCTAATCATTAATCGTCTCTCATCATCCATTTTCTTTGCTTCTATAAGAACCATTGTTTCTTCAATAGTCCAGTTTCCTTTCCTGTACTCCCTCGGCTCATTTGCCATCACCTCGCCTCGCCTCGCCAGATCTATTCAAGAAGATCATCGACTAACTCTCATTTTATTATCATTGGGTTTCGAATCATACTTCGTTGAAACAAAGATAAAGGAGAAAGAGAAACAAGATGTGCTCAGTTTTATTGAGCATATTGAGCTCTGTCTACTGGCTTTAACTTAAATAAGTAAACGCTTATAATTTAGCTTTTAGATAATCCTACTTATGAGAACTGGGGGAAATAATTGCTGTCAAAGGATATCACCCCCATTTTTATTTAAGAACTGAATATTCAAGTAATAGTTCCTTTGAAATAAGTAACACCTTTTTATAAGAGATGAGAAAGGAAAAAAAAAAACATATAAATCTTTTTTGAGGGTTATTGGCGCAAAACCCGCGTCGTATGGACTTATTGCCAAATACACTCTTACCTCTTCAAATTGGCTGAAAATCCTCATATATGACTTTTGAGGTGCGAACCACCCCCTGTTGTCCAATTTTGTTAGTTCAGGCATTAAATTGAGTCAAAATTAAAAAGGAATAAAGGGAGTTTCGACAAGTATTGCCATATAGGCACAATCCATCAATGACTATCATTTTGTTAGAATGTTCTTCTGAAAGAAATGTGACCATTTATCCAGACTCTTACTAGGTCCTCTTCAAGATCAAACCTTATTATCACATAGGAATTTTCCTTGTAGCAATGATTGAATATCATCCCGATAGGTTCCAAAAGCAAATACTTAAAGTTTGTATAAAATTTCACATGAGATGCCTCTATGTGTAACAAAACCGAGAAAGAACATAAAAAAATTAGAAAAGAAAACCTTAAAATCTTCATGGATAATCAAAAGGTAAACCTCGTGACAATAAAAATAAATCGTGTTTTCAGCTTTTATTTTCCTCTGAGAAAGAAGATTGTGGAGAGTGCAAGTGCCCTTATCACCTGGTTAGTAAAAATTTCCATGTTTGAGCCCCATTCTTTCTTTTTTTTTTTTTTTTCCATCCATTTTTCTACCGTACTCATTTTCAACCACACATTCTCCAAATAAAATAATATTACACACAAATCTAAAACTTTTCATCACTTTTCCACCACACATTCTCCCATCAATCACTATTCAAAAACTAATTTTTCCTAAAAATATAATTTAGCTTTTAGATAATCCTACATACGAGTACTGGGGGAAATAATTGCTGTCAAAGGATATCACCCCCATTTTTATTTAAGAACTGAATATTCAAGTAATAGTTCCTTTGAAATAAGTAACACCTTTTTATAAGAGATGAGAAAGGAAAAAAAAAACTTATAAATCTTCTTTGAGGCTTATTGGCGCAAAACCCCCGTCGTATGGACTTATTGCCAAATACACTCTTACCTCTTCAAATTGGCTGAAAATTCTCATACATGACTTTTGAGGTGCGAACCACCCCCTGTTGTCCAGTTTTGTTAGTTCAGGCATTAAATTCAGTCAAAATTAAAAAGGAATAATGATCTTCGAAATATTGTTAACATGACATATCAATTAATTGACATTTTAAAAAAAAAATGTTGGGAGTTTCGACAGGTATTGCCATATAGGCACAATCCATCACCGACTATCATTTGGTTAGAATGTTCTTTCGAAAGAAATGTGACCATTTATCCAGACTCTTACTAGGTCCTCTTCAAGATCAAATATTATTAACACATAGGAATTTCCCTTGTAGCAGTGATTGAATATCATCCCGATAGGTTCCAAAAGCAAATACTTAAATTTTGTATAAAATTTCACATGAGATGCCTCTGTGTGTAACAAAACCGAGAAAGAACATAAAAAAATTAGAAAAGAAAACCTTAAAATCTTCATGGATAATCAAAAGGTAAACCTCGTGACAATAAAAATAAATCGTGATTTCAGCTTTTATTTTCCTCTGAGAAAGAAGATTGTGGAGAGTGCAAGTGCCTTTATCATCTGGTTAGTAAAAAGTTCCATGTTTGAGTCCCATTCTTTCTTCTTTTTTCTCATTCATTTTTCTACGGTACTCATTTTCAACCACAGATTCTCCAAATAAAATAATATTACACACAAATTTAAAACTTTTCATCACTTTTTCATCACACATTTTCCCGTCAATAACTATTCAAAAACTAATTCTTCCTAAAAAAATGGGGCCAAACACCCACTTAGTTAGGCATATTTAATTAAAAGGGAAAAGACGATTATGTCCTTGGTGGAGAATACAGATGTCAGTTTAAATTTTTGTGGATATCAGGGCCTGGCATGCCACGTCAGTGAACATTTTTCTCGCTTTTTTATCCTGCAGCGAGCGGGCCATATGGATACAGAGCTGCTTTGACTGACTCTGGAGTTTGACTGGATAGGACGATTCCGTTGGGTCCATGCTCGTCGCTGTCGGTCTTAGTTTTTGGACTCTAGCGTGTCCCTGCCTAGGGTAACATAAACGTTACATTTCAAGAGAGGAAGCTCATATTAGTAAAAAAAAGATAGGGTTATTGTTTTTTAAACCATGATTAAAAGCACACAAGTTAGGTATGCTTAAAAGCTCATTATTTTAAGTTGGTAAATGAGAATAAGTTGTGGATAATACTGAATATATGAATAATAAGTTGACAGTAAGTTGTGATTCTATAAAATATGTGAATAAAAATTATGTTTGATCAACTTTAATTTTAATTTAAATTTTGCCCGAACATGCTTAATATTATTTAGTCTGACATTCCAATTATGTACTTATGTCATAATTGGTAAGTAAAAAAAAAAAAACACAACTAAATGATACTGAAAATAAAAGAAATTAAAATGTTCATAACTGAAAATCATTGAAAAAGAAAGAGTTTAAAAAATTATTTATTGTAAGAGTCAATTTTGTCAAGCTCTACTTTTAATGGTAATATCCCATTGTTGAATAGAGATGATTGTGAAAACGTGGAGCCAAAATATGAGAATTAGAACCACAACTATGGGTCGTTGAGACAAAGTCAGGCAAGAACCATAAAGATGGCAACTACACGGTTAACTCAATCTCGTAGAAAGGTAGGAGGAAAGAAAAGGACACCAATAACCTGAATCCGTTCGTGAACAGGCTAGTCCTATTGTATCTCCAGTACGCAGACTGGTGTTGAGGTACTCTTCCTGGATTTCGTAGGTTTTGTAAATTTTATGTTTGTGCATATGGATTAATCTGTTGACATTGAAAATTTTGAGCATAAGCGGCTTACTCAGTTGGGAAAGGATCGGTGGGAAATTCTAAGGATTGATAACTCACCCCCACGTGTTGCACATCAAGAGAGGTGCTTGAACCATATTAACTAAATTGAGAATGTCTCAATTTTTGCAAGTACCAGTTTATTGATGCTTCCTCTAAATACCCGGTTGTTTTCCTTACATTTTCACGAGATTTTCTATTTTTAAAGAGCATACTCTATAATTTAGAGAGTATCTATAAATTTAGAAAATAAAACATTTTAAGTACTCGAACAGACTCTTTATATTTAACACTTAATTTTTCTACTCATGAAAAATAATTTATAATTTTTTTTCATATTTTTTATTTTCAACAGCTTCATTCAAATTGTTATATTATTTTCTTTCACTAAAATCGATACTTTGAACGCATATATTTACCTAATTGACCTCTTCTAGACAGAGAGAGAAAAGTGAGAATTATTTTGGAAATAATGTTATTTATCATCATAATGATAAATTATCGATGATGTGACAGTTTATATGGAATAATGAGATTGAATAATTCAATTTATATGCGAGAGAGTTAGAGGAGAAAGAGATTGAGAGATGTGAGGGATAATGAATTGTCACATCACTGATGATTTATCTTCACGATACTCTTATTTTAGGAAAAAAAAAGGTATCATGGTGTACATTAAGTGTTCTCATCTTAATGAGAAATTGTGAAAGTGTAAAAATATATTATATTGTGTGGATTCTCAGTTAAAAATATACTATATTTTCTTGAGATCATTTTTTTCTTTTTACAAATCTCAAAGAACTTTTCTTGTTGATCTTGCTAACTCTATTATATCTTGGCTGTAAAGGCATGCGATAAAACACGCCAGTTACGTTTGAAAATACAATAGTTGCTAAATGCTGAAATAGTAAATGTGAAAATGATTGACATAGTTTTTATTAAGGTTTAATTTTGTATAGTAAATGAGAAAATAACCTTGCGGGTATCATTCGGTAGAAAAATGTCTATTTCCATTGATAATTGAGCTAAATCAAGAATAGATCGATTAGTGTTTTTTTGTTTGCATTGATGGTACACCAAATCCTATCATTGTGTTAGGCAGGCGTATCGTCTCTTCTTCAGGAGCATTTTTTCTTTTTACAAATCTTAGGCCATGTTTGATAGCATGGAAAATGGGTGGAAAAAGAAAATATTTTCCAAGTTTCCATGTTTAGTGGTGTTTGATGACAAAAATTTGGCATGAAAAATCTGCGCCATATTCCATGCGTGGGAGGAAACTATTTTCTTACCTTTTATGTGGGAAAATTAATTCCCAGTTTTGTCCCTTTTTTTTTTTTTTTTTTTTTTTTNGTTTTTTTTTTAACTTTTTAGCAATGGAAACAAATTTTATAACCAATTATGGAAAAAATTATCACTTTAATGGACAATTTCCATGTAAAATAAAGCCAAACGAACAGAAAATTTAAAAATTTTCCGGGTGGAAAATTATACAAATCAAACACACTTAATTAACAATTCTCTAGAAAACAATTTCTAGGAAAATATTTTCCCTGAAAAATATTTTCTTTCCACCCATTTTTCACCCTTGCTATCAAACGGACCCTTAAACACTCTTCATGATAACTCCATTATCTTGGCTATAAAGGTATGAAATATAATATGTCAGTTACATTTGAAAATACAATAGTTAGTTAAATGTTGAAGCAGTAAATGTGAAAATAATTACCAAAGTTTCTATTGAGTTTTAAAGTTATATAATAAAGAGAAAATAGCCTTGAGGTCATCATCCGGTAGAAGAATA